ATGGTGTTCGTGCCCGGTAGGTTGTGGATGTTGTCCTGTAGGTCGGTGATTGTGCTTGCTGGAATGGTGTCGCCTGCACTGCTGGGAGTGATGTTGTGCGGTGGACTAGTAGTGTGGCCAGCGCTGCGTGCTTTGATGCCCATGTCTGTCAATGTTCTTGGTTTCTTGGTGGCTGGTTGTGCGGCATTGGTAGTTGGAATGGTCCGCTTGTTGGGTGCTGTTGGTGGTGTGTGTTGGTCGTGGTTGGCCTGTGGTGTTGTTGCTGATTCAGGTGTCATTGTGAGATCTTGTTCTTGCGTGTCGACAACTGGAAGCTGGTTGTTGGATGTGGTGTGACGCTGTGCTTGAAGCTGCTGCTCGAGTGCGCGAATCTTGGCTTGAGCATCTTGGAGGCTGGTGTTGGCAAACTGGCGGAAATAATCCATGATGGCATTGACCAAATGATGGATTTTGGTCTTTTTCAACTGGTTGGGGTCTGGGTCGGTGATGGTAATGCCTTGTTGGTCACAGCGGGCTGCCGCTATGTCATCAAGATCCAAATGCTCATCACGGAGCTTGGTGGGGAGGTGATGAAAGAACATAGATTCTTTGATGCTGCGGGAAAACACTAGGGATGTAAATTTGCCATTGGCTAAGGCGCGTAGGTTGCAATTGGACCACCCCATGTATACCAATTCATGGAGATGGATGGTTTCGATGGATCGACCCGCAAGTTGGTACTTCTGGCTCCACGCTGTTGCTGTGATGTGACATGGAAACATCAGGCCAAACTGCTGTGTGGCATCAAAATGTTGACTGTCGGGCTGGAATGTGCTCGGTAGCTCGCGGTCATACCGCTTTGTGCCTTGTGGGCTTGGTGGTTCTTCCCAAGGTGTTGATGTGGTGTGCGTGTATGCTGTGCTGGCGGTGGTGTGTTGATGTTGTAGTGAGCTGTCTCGCATGCCAAGAATCAATAAGAGTCATAAGGACCGCTGCCGCCACGCCACGACGTCATGATACAACTCAAAGCAACGGTGGAAAAGCTGATTTGCCCCTGTGAATCTATGGGCGCCTCTAATGATCACTGAAATCGCTTTGTGATGTAATGAATTTGAACGCCAACTTTGACAATGCTTGTGATGAAGCCCATGTGACGGCATAAGCAAAAAGTAAGCAGCAACACATGATATTCTTTGTTGAATTGGGTGTCCATAAAATCTCAAATTGTATAGTTGACAAGGTGACGGTCCGCACACGAACTCGAAATTAACCACATTGTTTGTTGATTTGTATGTCAAACGGAGATACAACGAAGCAACAAGCCCATGGAAGAGGTCATCAACTTTGTAATGACGCAGGTGAATTTTGAAGTCGTAGTGAACTTATATCCACGACGGGCTTGGCATGATTGCACTCTTCATCGAAGCTTTTCTTGCGGCGTTCCGCTGAAACGTTCTGTTCAGGGTGCTACTGGTAATTGACTTGGTAACGTAATCTTTTCCGAAGCCATATGGCATTTTGTAGTCCAGCAGTATTTGAACGCTTAGAAATATATGAAGTCCAGAGTATCATCTGCAAAACCGGGCCAGAAGTAAAATAAGTTAAGTTATATGATCTCGAAGTAAATAATAAATATTGCATTATAATTAAAGTATGATCCGGAGGTGAAACTGTCGCCTCAGCAGCCTCTCTTTTGCACATCCGTTGGCAGCAGCGGTAGCTCAACATCATCACATTCATGTCCATGCAAGTTCTGTGCTGGTGTAGAAAAGTTTGGATCAGGCTCAAGGATCCAAATGCTAGTGATGTTTGCCAGTATTGAGTGATTCTGGTGAAATGTAGTGTGGGTGAGTGTGTTGTACATGGGCATGCCAGTTGTTACATTGTACTTGGCTAACGATGTGGTAATGTGTTCTTGTGGCAGGCCGATGTCTGCTGGGAAGGGCGTTTCTAACCAAGCCGCCATGTCACGAACACTTGTGTCACGATCTGCCAAGAAACGGAAATACACGGATGGTGCTGTGAGCTCACGGGCTCGTAGTGCTGCAGAGTGAAGCCGCTGTTCTAGCTCACGGTAGTTGAATGCTTGATAACTGTCCCGAATGGGAGGTTCCCATGGCGTGAGCACGGAAGGATCTTGCTGTATCTGTTGTTCGATAGCTTCTTGAAGTAGATCGTCTGACTGTGGTTGTTGTGTTGTCGTTGTAGTATCAGGCGGTGCTGGTGGTGTGTGTTGCTGGCGAGGTTTCAAGTGGACTAAGCCAGCTGTGATGGTCTTTGGTGTTGTGGTGTGGCAGATGGCCCTGGACATGGCAACAGACCGAATTTGATCAGCCAGGCTCGGTGGTGTTGGTGGAGGAGATGGCTTCATTGAGGTTGAAGATGGTGGTTGCTTGTAGTGCTGTGGTGGTAACGGCGGTGGTGGAAGTGGTCGTGGTCGTGGTTGTGGACGTGGTAGTGAAGTGTGGTGACGTGGTGGAGTGTGTTGGCGAAGAGATGTTGTTCTGTGTCTTGTGCGTGGTCAGTGGTTGGATCTGGATCTGACAGTGGGTGAATGATGTTGCCGGCGACGTGAGCGGTGCTGCGATGTGTGACGCCTGTGACGTGGTGTGGTAGATCTGTGCTGTGGTGTGTAACGTGTGTGGTGTCGCTTGGTATATCTGTGTTGTCTGCGATGTTTGCTAGTGGAGCTGTGCTTCCGTGTGGTGCGAGAGCGTGTACGGCTGTGCTTTGCATGGCTTTGTGGTGGAGCTGGAACATTGGTGGGTGGATATTGTTGTGAAGCCGGCATAGTTGGTAATGGTTGTGCCGGTGTGGTGCTGGTTGGGTGTGATGTGGGTTGGTACGCAAAGGACGAACCACACTGTGGTGGTGATGCCTGAAAGCCTGGTGTGGCTGTGTTGTAGTGTGGAAGTGGCTGAAGACCTGGCATTGCTGTGTTGTAATGTGGCGTGTTGACAGTGTGAAAGGACGGAGGCAAACGGTGGTTGCATTGGTTGTGGGAAAGTGTGTCCCGTTGGTTGGTGTTGGTGCTGAGTTGGAAAGAATGGTGGTAGACAAGGTAGTGCTGCTGGTGTGCTATGTGGTAGTGGGCTCATCAATCAACTGCGCAAGCAAATCAGCTGCTGTCATCGCGGGCTGCATGGTCGTGGCCAAGGAAGTACAAGCAAGTCAACATCAACAAATGTGGTCGTTGTTCCAGAATGAAACACCTAAACCATGAGATTACACTAAATGGCGCTATGATCAATGTTCATGGCTGCTGTGTCGCAACATACTTACCAAGTGTGCAACCAATGAGCTGGTGTATGGCCGGCTGCCGGGTGACATCTGAAAAAATTGCGTTCAATCGCAACTGATGTTCATGCTAGAATGAATTATGGGTTGACACCGGGAATTCTGAAATGAAAAATCTGTAATTCTGTCTAATTCTGAACATGCACTTCTTGGTGAATTCTGAGAAAACTCTCCTTCTGCTGGAGAATTCTGATAAACAACGTCTGGATGCTTGTGCGAAGTTTGCTTCTGGCAACATGATGTCTGGTAAATTTTGAACGTAATCTGGTATCGCCGGTGGACGCGCCACCAAGCTTCCCGCAGCTTCCCCGGCACTTTATCAAAGATCCGGGTGCATGAAAGACACACTTGGATACACCCCGAAGGGAGAGGATGAAACGAGATGACATGAAAACATGTCATGTTATGTGATGTTATGTTATCATGCTGTCCATTTCTGTGAAATACCAAATGACGATGGACCTCTGCCACTTGACCTTGCTCACCTACCTTAGAAAACGCATGACATGATATGATAAACGGCAAGCCGCTTCTTCATTTAGCCGGATCTCATACAGAGAGCGGGTACAGGTTCATGCGTCCATGAACCCTTCCACCACATCTTCCATAGCTCCAAGGGGCAACATAGGAAGATGGGCTGTTAACCCCCTGCTTATACCCTTTGATTCAGGGTTTCCCACACACACACATATATATATATATATATTTATTTATTTATGTATTTATCTATTTATTTGTTTATTTGTTTACTTATATAAATATATTATTATTATTGTTATTGTTATTATTATTATTGTTATTGTTATTATTATTATTATTGTTATATATATATGATTATATATATGTATATATTGTCATTATATATAAATATTATTATTATTGTTATTATTTTTATTGTTATTATTATTATCATTATTATTATGATTATTATTATTGTCATTATTATTATTATATATATAGTCCTCCCTCTCTCTCCCCCTCCCTCTCGTTTGAATAGCAAACCAAATCGCTCGCAAGTTTTGGTGAAATGCCCAAAATTGAAGGATTCCCGCTTCATTCGTGGCCTTCGCGCGTGGGGCATTTCATTCATCAACTCCGCGCCTCTAGCCTGAGGCAGGGGCACGTTGTGGACACCCGGTGAGCCTGGTTTAGGATCGTATTAGCCATGTCAAAATCCAGCAAGAACATAGGGACACACACGTGCACACAGATATATATTGTAAATAGATAATGAATAAATAAATGTTAAATAAATAACTATATATACTGTATATGTATAAACTACTGCAACCATATTCTGGGGATATGTATGTATATATGTGTATATATATAATTATACATTATATATATATATGTGATTATGTGTGTGTGATTATGTGTGTGTGATGGGATAATTATGACACCGTATGACAACACTATGATAGTTAGGTCTGCCTGAAAATGGATAAAATGGTGGATAATTCGAAATAGCAATTCTAATGGAGGTATGGTTCATCAAATTTGAGGTACCCGTTCAACGGATGTCGTCGGTAACAATGAATTGTTTGAATTGCTTTTCAAATTCGCAAGCTTCAAAGTGACTGCCAAGCCAAGTCCTCTTGCCGTCACATTTGTGCTAGAACGCAAGACATTCGAAGACTGGAGGATCTGATTTGGGATAAACCTTCGATTAGGGATTATACCACCATTTCTGGCTGACTTGGGATTTTTTGGTGTATTTTGGGTTAACCGGCATTGCATGTGGGTAAATAGCTCAGCCTCCAGTGCATCTTCGCGCTCTGCATACCTGTCAGCTGAGGCATGCGCAGGCCATCTTTTGTCACAGCAGCGACAGCAGCCAGGCCTGAGGAATGGCCCAGCCCGTTCCTTGATCTTTTCAAATTGTGGGAGCGTGATTCGCACCTGTCACCAGGTTTCACAAGGCTTAAGTGTCACAAGTGCTGCTGTGGCTGCCAGTCACTGCTGAAAAATGACGAAGAATTTGCCTCTCCGATGATGCGATCGTGACCAATATGAGCAAACCTCAGTGGTTGAAAGTGACTGGCTCCTCCGTCCCCAACATGCCATAGCCAACGGGTCTAAAACTTCAGAGTTGCCGGCCCGCGGCTGGAGTGGAAGATGACGCTCAGCCTGAGGACCCGAGTGAGACAGAGAATGGGGATCATATGGGATAATAATGGATAATAGTAATAGGGGATCATGTGGAGGATTATACGGGCAATGGGCTGAGTTTCGCTGCAATCAAAGCATCTTGCTTTTGTCTACGGATGTCCACTGCATCTACAGCGACCCAAATCAGCAAATTCTAACCCTGCTGTCCAGGTCAGTCGCATGCTCGCAGCATGGCCCTGTTTCAAAACGACAGGCATGATACATAATTTATACTGACGTGCGCACGCGCAATATATTAATTATGCATGGATGTATGGATGTATGGATGTATGGATGTATGGATGTATGGATGTATGGATGTATGGATGTATGGATGTATGGATGTATGGATGTATGGATGTATGTATGTATGTATGTATGTATGTATGTATGTAGTATGTCTGTACGTATGTACGTGTGTACGTGTGTACGTGTGTACGTGTGTACGTGTGTACGTGTGTACGTGTGTACGTGTGTACCTGTGTACCTGTGGACCTGTGTACCTGTGTACCTGTGTACCTGTGTACCTGTGTACCTGTGTACCTGTGTACCTGTGTACCTGTGTACCTGTGTACCTGTGTACCTGTGGACCTGTGTACCTGTGTACCTGTGTACCTGTGTACCTGTGTACCTGTGTACCTGCGTACCTGTGTACCTGTCTGTAATGTAATGTAATGCAATGTATAGTGATGTATTATATACATATTATATACATATTATATACATATATTATATTATATTATATTATATATTATATTATATTATATTATATATTATATTATATTATATATTATATTTATATATTATATATTATATATTATATTATATATTATATTATATATATCATATCATATCATATCATATTATATTATATTATATCATATCATATTATATATTATATTATATTGTATTATATTATATGATATGATATTCTATTCTATTATATTATATTATATGTGTATATATATATAGTATTATATATAAATATACATATGATATATATATATATATGTATATATCTGATTATGTGTGTGTGTGCGCGCATCTATAAATATATGTATATATTGAATTATATGTGTATATATATATATTCTCTGTGTGTGTGGCACGTATGCTCCTGCGATCTCCTACATGTGTTCAACCCCAAACCAGGAGTTAATCGAACAGAACTTCAGTGCCACTTCTTCTTAGCTAACCTCGAATCATATCAATCTGGATCGAACATGGCACAGCTGTAGCTCCAACTCCTTTTTACTGCCGACGATGGCACGCAGCCGTCGTCGTGTGACTGAGTCATGGCCGAAAGTGTCGCAGCCGAAAGCGCTTTGCCAAGGCTGGGCGGATGGAATGCTGTTGGATTCCCAATCTGCCTGGATCCAATTGCCTGGGTGGAAAAAAAGCCACATGCAGTGGGCCACATCCCTTGCAAAAGGAGTCAAAAAAACTTGAACATCATTGAAAACCCTTTTGTATAAGTAGTTTCAGGACGTGTTAGTTGTTTCAGCTTTATGATGCTTTATGGTTAGCTCAATTGCTGGCCAAGGACTCATCTCGGAAGGTGACATAGAGGAGAGCGCGAGTGCTGGAAACATTGGCGCCCCCACAGTGAAGTAAGCGGCTGTCATAAATCACCGAATCTCCTAACGCAGGTGTTTCATGGCGTTTCTTCATATTGGTCTCACAGGATATTCGGTGTGTGTGTGTGTCTGAAAATATACCTCACAATGGCTATTTTAAAGGGGAAATGATGATAATCCATGATAATCCAATGGATTTGGGGCACCCTACTTTCAAACAAACCCATTTATGGTCCCAGTAAACTGGAAAATCTGTGTCGACTTCGAGGCATTTTTCATCATTTTTCTAGGAGCTCCTGCTTTGAGTAGAGGCGCTGCAGGCTGCAGAGTTTCCAGAAAGCCTTGTGGGTCGCCTTCAAATCTTCGATGGGCCACAGCGGTGTTGGTTCCTGCCGGTACAGGTTCAAAACTCTGACATCCCTCAATCGCAAAAAGAAAAGCTTCCAAGATCAGGTTGTTAAAGAACGCAAAAAGACTACCAGGCCTGGCCAAAAGTGCGTGGGTCCCATGTCATAGGTCACATCTTGAAGAGCCACGAAGGTTGTGTACAGGCACCGTTCTGCAGCATCAAAATGGACGGGCTGTGGCGCCTTGGGCCCCTTCTCTCACTGCAATCATGGTGGGGTTGATATATGATATGATATATCATCCAATTAATATCAATTAATTGTCATTTCTTCTTAATATTGGATTGATGATTATCCTCTTTTATGGGCAAATAAAATCAAATGACCATGGCACATATGGAAAGACCCCGCAAAGAAGGAATGGTTTTGAATGAAGTTCCTGAGCGTTGTCGTACCTTTGATTGGTGCAGGATGGTGGAAGCCTCCTGTTCTCGAGCAATAGCTGTTGAGTTTGCATGTTTCATGATGTCTTGGATGAGGCCACACATAGCAAAAGCACGCAGAAGCTATCAACTACACGTAGAAACATGCAAACATATGGAAACGTGAAGCATTGCGTGGGCTTCTGCATCCAAAGCAGTTTCAACCGTACCGATTGTACCACAAAGTTGGCCTGCTATAGCAGGCATTTTAGGACATTTTAGGTCATTTTAGGTGTTCCATTGATATTTTGGATGCAAACAAAATGAAAAGATTCGCGTCCAAGCAGCTGCTCCTGGCTCTGTGACTACAACACCAAGTTCCCACAGCTCGGCATCTGGACCGGCCAGTTCTTCCAAGGTTGCTCCCAAGCCCTGGTGGAAACCCGCACGTATACATTGCACGGCTATAACGCACTATAGAATATCATATATAATTACAATATATTATATTAATATTAGAATGTATTACAATATCATGTTCAACAGCAATGATGGGGTGAAGGCGTACGGGTGGGCATGGGAGGGCATTCAAACATATTCAGACTACCACTCTCTTCAAGCTTGACCTCATCACCAGCGCTCTTCCCAAGCATTTCTTCAAGAGCTCGATAGATCGAAGCATCCATTGGAAGCCGCATGTCCCAGCGTGTGACAGGATCATCAGCACCTGCGGCAGTCAAACATGACAGGACGAACTGACATGCCAATCTGCCAGTCTTGAAAACCAACGGTGCCATGCTGCTCCAAAAGTATCTGACGGTATCTGAGGTCAGAACTGGCCTTTGGTACCTGGACATTGGAGAAGAAATGCTGAAGCAAAGCTTTGTCTTCCAGGCTTGCTTGAATGCACCGGCGATACTCCAAATGCCTTGGATTGGTAAGGAAGTCCTGACAGCACTCCAAGTTGCTAGGCCTTGCAAGGGTCAACATACTAGGGAAAACATGAAATACATCAGTCACAACAAGCAAAAGTAGGAGCAAGTTCAAGTTCGAGGCACATAAATTTCAGCACTTCTTGCGCAGTCTGTTCAGAGATGGCACGACATTTGGCCACACCCTTCTGCCTTACGATGTCGTACAAACGCATCTGGGGACTGGTGGAAGTGCTGCCCAAGCGAAGCTGCAGGGGCCGCTGTTGCATCAACTCTTCGAGCTCCAGTTCAGGCAGTGCCTCCTTGGCGACGTATCATGATGTTTCAACGTGACGGGCTCCTGGTTTTCAACATGTGCTAGTCCGCTGCTAATATTCGTCACTTGTGGTTCATCGTCATCGTCATCGTCATCATCGTTATCATCATCATCGTCGTCGTCGTCGTCGTCCTCCTCCTCCTCCTCATCACCCTCATCATCATCATCATCATAATCATCATCATCATTGCGGCGTGCGGAGAACTGAACTGCCAGTTACATGATTAATCGATGTTTGGATGAAGATTGACACATATCAAAATATCAATACTCAAAATTATGTAATTACAGTATATCAGATCTCTGCAAAGACAAGGGTTACCAGTGGTCCCCACTGAGTTTCTCACCATCATTTGGCAACCGTTGATGTCAAGAATTGCTTGCCCGGGCTGGACAAATGCAGCTTCACCGGCACCACCTGGCACCACTGCAACCACGACCTGAGCGCTTCGCACCGCCAGTCCACATGGAGTTGTTTGACCATTTGGAGGCCTGAAATAACCCGATGGGCTTCTCTTTCCTATCTGAGTTCTATCTTTCCATAAAAGGGGGGGCCATCCCAAATTTCGAGACAGCCCCATTATCTCCAAGATGCTGGAGGGGCAGTCCACTGAATCTCCAGACCAATGGGGCCCTCTTGGAACTCAACGCTCCGCTCCGAAGAACTTTCGCACTTTTCTCCTCGCAGGATGGAAGGGTTTCTGATGGTTTCTGGAAGCAAAGCAGGGTTTGGATTTGGAAGCTTTGGTCCTGCATCTTTCTCACGTCGCTTTCCAAAGACTTTCTCCAAGCTGTCACCAACCGCCCGGCTGACGCCCACATTCTTGCCAACATACATCCCGGAGATCCTTAACTGGCAGCACAGCATCATGTCTCTCCATTCCTTCGGTGACATCATCCAGAACTTGTGATTTCCGTCAAATCGGGCCCCAACGCAGTATATCGACGTTGATTCTGCGCTGCTAAAAGATGAATCATCCGAAATTTGTTGGCTTTGAAGGTGCCCCACTCACCAAAGGCTGAAGGTTTTTCAACCCTCCACACCAAGGCACTTGTCAAGGGCTTTGTTGGCTCTGACTGCAGCTCGCTCTCCCATGATCAAATCATCCTTGCTACGAGATTGGCAAAGAAACACTTACAAAAAGGAAAGTGAGGTCTTAATTTTACGTGTGGAATTCTTAACGCATCTCCGCATCGACCCACCACCAATCGACCTCGCCAGCGTCTCCAACCTTTCCAGTTCCGAGCATCACCGGTTTGTCCACGGGCCAGCTGCGATCGGGTCAAAAAGCTCCGCCTCTGCACATGGCTCTTTGCCAGCTCAACCCAGCGCGAAGCCGCAAGGATTTGGCGCATTGGCGACAAGTTTCAAGGTCCGACGGACAATAGATTGTGGGATTGTGGGGCTTCAAGCAAACTCTATGGGTGCGAATTCCAACTTTTGTGAGGAGATTTATACACATTATTGTCATTCAGGCAGAAGCAATTTGTTTTGGATCTAAACAGCTCTATCAAATCAAAACCACCTGCAGTTCTCAATACACATGTGTACATTGTGTATATACATGTATATGTATATATATATATACATGTATATATATATATATGCACACACTTTATCTATTTGTTCATGTTTGCAAACAAAACGCGTGGACATGCTGGGCCAACAATTGCAAAGAAGTCATTATGACTATGACTCCATAACTCTGGTCTTTGCATCAGGGTCATCACAAATCATGCAACAACCAGTGCAATATAGTGCAACTACAGCCGCCTTAGATCTCACCATCTTGGCTTCTGACGTTACACTGCGCAATCCTGCAGGACCAACCTTCGCGCTTTCTGAGAAGTTGCTGCGCACGCGTACCAACTCAAATGGGACCTCAGCCGCGCTCAGCTCTGTGAACACATTTTCGTATGCCATGAGGAAAGGAAAGAATCAATCGGACTCAACATGAAACTGTTGAGGAAGCTGCCGCTTTTGATGTGCCAGGCACTTCGTTGCCTTCAAAATCGCAGTTTCATCATGAGTGTCTGTGAATAAGTAAGATATTGAACATATATAGATTTGAGGCCCAGGAGGGGTGCACGAAAGCTAAGGTTCATATGACTTGGAAACATGATGGGGCTTGATATGGTTAGGACAGATTGTCGAGAGCTCAGCACGACCCTGGTAGGATTTGAGCCACGACCCCAAGACCGCTCCAAAACACCCCGGGAGCTTAGGGGGAGGGTTGGACTCAGAGCTGCCTTTCCTGAAGCAAGCGTAAACTCCAGCTAGCTACCGTTAGCTTTCATGATTATTGATATATAGATATATACACATAGATATACATAGAAATGACACAGATATATTGATTTACAATGGGACTGGATGGACCATTGTACCTGAAGCCATGGCGACCTGGCCTGTGGGAGACGTGACGCTGCCGCATTTGAAGCAATTGATCAAGGTGATGACCTCAGTTGGAGATTCAACCCCCCAGGCCCAACAGGGATGAGTGGTTCATGATGTTTAGGAAAACCACAACCAATGGACCAAGCGCCAAGAAAGTGCTATCAAATATATTCAAATATATCCTTCTCCTCGTTTATCATCATCATCACCACCTCATCCCTGGGACTGCGGATCTGCTGAGGATACCACAGCGGCGGGGCAGTTGGCGAGAACATCACACTCAACCTCATTGTGTTGATGGGGTTGAAGTTTGAACCCTTGAAAACTGATGAAAATGCGAGTCAATTGGGAAAATTCTCCCAGCTAGGACAGAAAATCCAACATGGTTTGAAAGACCACAACCTATCAGCTGAAAACATGTCCAAATGCACTTCCTGAAGCAGCAAAAAACGCGCTCAGCTTGACGAGATCTTGGGGCAAGGACGATGTCCAGCAACTTGGCGGCCTGGAAATTGATGGAAACTATTGGGTTTGACCATCCCTGGATGGTGTCATGGTGATTATGAGGATGTCATGGGACAACTAACAATTTGAACAAAATGGCATGGTCCATGTGTGTCCATTTGATGCCAATGTTGATGGGGAAATTGATGATCAGCTATGATATTTATTGATATTTTGGGACACCATGTCTGTGAAGAAGCCCTGGTTAGCCCACTGGTTGGTGGCTCCAAGCTGTCCCAAGAGAAGATTAGGTTACAATCTCCCCGCTTTGCAAACGCGGAACATGAACATACATATATATATAATATGCGTGTATCTACGTGCATATGTGTATATGTATATATAAATTATATGTATATGCGTGTGTATATATGTATATATATATATATATGTGTGTGTGTATATATGTATATGTATGTATATGTGAATATGTCTATGATAATATGTGTACGTGAATATGTATATGTACATGTGCGTGTATATGTAGATGTATAACTATGTGTGTGTGTGGGTGTATGTGTAATGTAATGCAATGCAATGCAACGCAATGCATTGCAATGCAATGTGTGTGTGTGCGCTATGTGTGCTATGTGTGCTATGTGTGCTATGTGTGCTATGTGTGCTATGTGTGTGTGCGCTATGTGTGTGTGTGCGCTATGTGTTGTATGTGTTGTATGTGTTATATGTGTTCTATGTGTTATATATATATGTGTGTGTGTGTGTATCTATGGAGAAACCATACAGTTCTAAATCCAAGTGCATTTGTGTGTAAGTCCTTTCGATGTTTATTTGCAACTAAGTAACATTAATTAAGTTACTATAAGTAACTAAGATATTCTAATATTCTTTATGATAATCTTGGCTGGTTAGCTCACCATGCTGGGGCCTGGGTCTCGGGATGACAGCTGCCACCCAACTTGCGCTCCGCTGCCTCGCACCAAAATTCAATGGTGTTCCAGTGTCAACGGCAGGTCTTCCAAAATCAGTTGTTGGTTGCTGTTGGTTACTTTTGACTACTTTTGGATGCTTCCAATATCTTCCAATGTTCGTTGGTTGGGTTGAGAACTTGCGAACTCGCACCATCCAAAAACTGCAGATGTCCTTGATGGCATCGTAGGTCTTCAGCTGTCCTCCCTGGACACTGGCCTTGAAGGTCGGTGTACAGTTCTGTCATGTTTTCAGCAGATGCACAAGCAAACCCATGCATGAAGAGCCTCCATTCCTTCCTCCCAGCGTTCATCGTTAAAAGCAGCCTTAGTGTCAACATATGTCAAAATCATCGAAGAGATCCAAGATCCGCATGCTCAACAACCCCAACGATGTGGCATTCAATCGCATCCGGTAGGTATCTGTAGGCCGCCAGCAACAAGTTGTTTCACCTGCACTGCTGTCAAATTTAGCGAAATGGTTGTTACTTGTCATCTGCTGATCCTGAACTTCAACTTGGCGCTGCCTGAAAATAGGGTACCCCAAATGTCCATTGTTTATCACCATGTTCCCCATTAAATTCGCCATAAATTGGGGCTATATACCCCATGTTCAGACACACCCAACTAACCAAAATCAGTTATATATACGCAAAATACGGTGAACTCATGGGAACTCCCACAACATCGACACATCTTCCGCCTTGGTCTGGAAATCGGAGTTCAGCATTCGAGCATAGCTTGATAACCTGGGCAAGCCGTTTTTAGCCCTCCAGGCCCTCCAGAAACTTAGCTAATAGCGAAATGTGGATGACTATGGAAGGTCCGTACTGTAAACTTATTGAAATATATTACTAATATATATATATTAATATTATCATAGATCATCCTAGGAAACAATGGGTTTCCATGTCCGTTTACTATGTTTACTGAAGTGTATCAGTGATATCAGTCGACAAGGTCAAAGGATCAGCAAGGACCTGGATGTGGCAATCACTGAGATATGCGCCACAATCGATAGATGCTTCGCCAGAAGTTTTCCCTGGCATGAGTGTGCTCTGTGTCTATTAAAATGGGTGGCCTCCCCACAAGCCTCCAGCATCTCAAAATTGATTGAGTTCAAACCTATGGGGTTGCGCATTTCATGCGACGAGTGGGCCAATCCTTTTCGCATTCACTGGCCAGGCAAACCCAGTTCCAAAGTCCGGATCTGTGCTAACCAGCTCCATGAGAGCAGCAATGGCCTTTGTGGCAGAGTGGCTGAACAGTGGACACCAGGACCTACCAGGGCCTACCAAGGGCCTACTTAGTAGGCCTACTATCATGCCCCAACGATTCGCCACGATTCGCCAAAGTTTGGGCCTGACCCTCATCGGCACTGCGTTCTCCAAATGCCTTGCCAGGGCAACAATTGTGTCAATAAAAACCACCAGTGACAGGACAACCGTGGGCGGACCTTCACTGCTCGAAGGCCTTCAAAGGCCGCGAACATATCTTTGGTTGTCATCCTGGAAGAGGCTGCAAATGGCCAGGGACAGCCGGGACAAACGTCTTATACTTATATAATTATATACACATCTTGAATTCACATACATTCGCAATAGTGGTGAAGCCAGTGCCATGCAGCTTGAGACGCTGGCCAAGGCAGTGGCACATGAACGGTGAGCTGCGACCTTATGTCCCAATGGAGCTGGCTATGGTTCTGAGTTTCAAAGATGCCGAGTGCACCACAAATTGGACGGCATCACTAGCTCATCCTCTGGCCTGAGCATCTTTTCCCAGAACATTTGCACATAAGTCAGCCCGCAAAGGTGACCAAAGCGCGGCTCTAAACCAATCAATGATACTGAAGCCTACTGGAACCTTCGGAAACCCACTGAACCCTGCTGAAACCTACTGAATACCAACCAATCACAACAGCTCCAAATATCCTGTGTGCCCCTGACAATGCTTCAAGCAAGTCCCCACTGCGCTCGTCGAAGAGCTCCTCACAGATGGCCTTCGCTTCTTTGCAGAACCTCCAGCATAGGTACCATGACTGTTCTGATGCTAATCCTGTCGTGATTAGCATAACCACCGAATACCATTGAGCACTAGACTTTTGAATACCCTAAGCCCATCAAAATCATCTAATCTAAATATATTTAAAGGTCCTTTATGGTCCTTTCAAAACACCTTCAATTTCTCCAGTGGCGAAGGTGTTTGATGCACGGCCGGCCCCTGAGTTGCAAGCTCCTCCAGCTCAGAACTGACCTCCAAAGTCATTGGCATGGGAGAAGGATTGAAAAAGACGGAAAAAGCATGAAAAAGCCATAAACATTGCTAAAATATGCTAAAATGGCTAAAACAATTGTGAAACCATCAGCCAGTCATCAACAATCCTTTGAATCCTTTGCGACAAAACATGACAAAACCAACACCGTTTTCCTTTGCATCTGCGGTTTGTAAGTCTTAAATAGTCTTAAGATAGGCTAAGGACGGTGCGAGCGAATCAATTTCTTCTCTGTAGCCCTCGCGGTTGTCCCAGGACCACTCCGCCGAACCTCGGTTTCAGATGTTTCAGATCATCATGGACTTCTGTTTCCAAGTAATCCGATCCCTAAAATGAAATACTCCCATATGGTTCCCCCCCAAATAGGGCCAGTATGAGCCAGTACCCTCCGGTACCAATAGTACTCTCATTGGTACTGAACCAAGGGTTTCTGACGGTTTCTGTTTCCAACCTCTGGCTTTGTCATCTTCAGTGCCGTCCAGCACTCGAGGCAAGCGCGGGGAGGACCGGTGGTTTCAGTCAACCACATCTCAACGAAGTTCAGCTGATTGCGAAGGTGCTCTGCGCGCCTCAACAAAGCAACAGTCAAAATCAATGGCATCATGGTAAGTCACCATGGTTCCTGATGTTTCTGGACATTTAGTTGGTTTTCTATGGTTTTCTGTCCTAGCTGTTTGAAGCCATGCAAACCCTGTGAGCTTCACTTGTTCGCCGGTGAAACGGGAGACACCCTGACATCCTCTGCTCGCCCATGGTCTCTTTCTCCCTGTGTGCCAGCTGTCTTGGTCTCCGATGGTCTCCGTGAGACTCAAGACACACTAATTTGTACATGCCCCGTCCATGGAAGCTAAAGAAAACGGCCCTGGGAGTCAATTTGCGCGACACGATTTTGAAAGGAATACCTGATGTCAGAACTGACCGAAGAAGGTGAGCAAGGACCTGTTTTTTTTCCGGAAAGGATCCTAAGTTCGGGTTCAAACTCCTCAAAAAGCCGCATGTAACGTACTGCTGCTGGTCCTGAAGAAACTGAAAAATGCAAACACTGGGAAAAACATGGGTCAAAACACTGAGAACAGGCACAACTAGCTGCAGGAAATGTGTTGCTTCGCAAGTCACTTCAGAAAAGAAAACGCATAACATTGAACGATCTCAAACACCACTGGATGAAACAGAAATGGAACACATTGTGGTTCTGAGGCCAAGCGACTGTCAGGAAAACCCATCCCACGTTGGTGACTGGATCCTGGCAGATCCAACATGATCCAACTGGTAGTGACGGGAAGATCGGGAAGCCACCGCAAACATCCGCAAGCCAAGAGCCCACGAGCCTTCGCATGAATTCATCCCTCCCAAGCTTCATGTAGGCCTCCTGCAGGTCCCGACTCCGAAAAAAAGGACCTGACGGACCTGGTGGGTTTTGTAGGCTTCGACGCTTCGACACTGCCATCTGCCAGCCTTGATACTGAAGAGGTCAGTTCGGAAGGCAACTTCCTTGGCCTCAAACCACAGCAAAGATGGGCCCAACATGTCAACATGCTGAATTTCTCGTGCACCCTTCAGGCTGAAGTCAGGCAAAGTACCCTCTGGTAATCAAACATGGCTTGCTGGAAAATCGACCATTTGGTTACCAATGATTTTCCCAATTTCAATGTCCATTTATGGGGGATTTCCCAGCTTAAAGCCTCTGAATGCCTCTGAACAACAGCCGTGTTCTCAGAACAGGACTCGCTGGAATGGATTGCTGTTAGTGACCTTGGCTTCACGAATGGTTGAGGCTTGGTGGAATGTGCCATGTGGAGACGCGAGGCAAACGCCAATTTGCCAATGCATGTGTACACACCTTCACCTGTGTGTAGTTATGATTAATTATATATATATATATATGTATGTGTCCATATACATCTCTCTATTTGATTGGTACCTATTAAATTATATCTATGCGTCGTGTTTGTGCGTTTGAATGAACCATATGAACACACATGGCCATTGAGTGCCTTTGAATTCTGTGCGTGTGAAGATAGTCGCCGTAACGTCTGGAAATGGTCTGCAAAGGCCACGTCACCTGAAGAACGGTGTCCACCGGCGTAGCCACGAAGCCATTGCTATGTCGATGTCCATTGAGTCTCTGCATGGGCTCCTGAGACTTTGAGGCAACTCGCAGACAGAGTCGGATAAAAACTGACAGACCCTTGCTGTTCTGCAAGAAATCAATGGGGGTCAGGTGCAATCCTCTGTAATCTTGGGCCAAATGATCCAAATGGTCATTTCCAATTTTGAATTTGCTCAAAATGATTTACCGCCATTATTTGTATTATTGGTCCATGTTGGTGATGGTCAATCGTCACCATGATCAATTGGTCCATTTCCTGTCAAGATTGACGACAGTGGCAGGTCCTGAACCATTTGCCCAAAGTCCTGCAACTCTTCGTCACCTGAGTGCACCCAGAATCACCCAAACATGAAAGTCCATGCTGTCGGCACAGTGACGCCCAGCAACGGGACGCTGAAGAAACGCAGAACTGTACTGGCAACAGCTTCTACCCAAAATATGTGCAGATATAGGTATAGTACAGAGTTGGTCAGGGAATCTAATCTACAGCCGGAAAAAACAAGATCCAAAAAGAGTTCAAAAAGAGATGCAAATGAGGCCAGAACCCTGCTAGTAGCAAGTGCAAGCAAATAAATTCGTAGTGTAGGGTCACATCGATTTTGGTAAATCACATGATTCCCTCGCGCCGAATTTGATGGGTTGAAACGAGGAAAAATGAATTACCCGTCCGAAACCATCCGAAACCCACAAAGCCACAAACACATGAATGATTTCACTAGCAGTTGGTTTGGCAGCAGTCTAGCAAACGATAGCAAACGTTGTGCAGCAAGTATATGCAAATATGCTTCGCTACAGCTACGGATAGGGTTTGCATGGGTTGGGTGGGTTAATGCCGTTCATGTTGACTTGCACATGCACTTGATGCTTGTATGCTACAGGATGCTACCATCTGAGCCACAGATCGAGCCAATAGATGGAACAAACAGAGTGAGAGACCAACGGTGCACGCAGCTAGATGCAGTTAGATCATTTGTGGCACTAAGGTGAAAGGTTCCAAGGGGTGGGACAAATGTCGATGTGACCCTATGGAACGGTGGCTTCCAATCTGTAGGCACACGAAATGTGTTGAGATGAAAGTTTGACGGCGTTCAAGCTGACTTCAGACTCACGACATGTTGGAACGGCAACCGACATACGTGTCCCTTCAGGCCGTGTCACCTTGTTGATCACGCCTCAAAGGCCCTCCGATCCCAAACCCGCATCCAATTCACGCCCTCGAAGGCCCGGGAAGCCAACCAAGATCCAAGTATTCCAACCAGGATCCAATCAAAGAAATTACTTCACAGCAAAACTGCCAAATCCTCTGGGGACATCAGAATCATCCCAAGACTTGGGGAATCCCAGGATGAACACTGCCCTCCCGTGCAAGGCACTTTCATCAGGCACGGGTGATCTCCACAGCGGGCGCGAGAATTCTGGAAAGCCGTTGTGAGCTGCCAAGGGCGCATTGGGCTCGGTGTTGGCATCATAGCCCTGGGAAAAGTGGAACGCTGACATGTGGTAAAATATGCCAACATATCCAACATGTCTGAAGGTGTCAAAATGTCCCAAAACATCCCAAAAGTCCATCAAATTGCCTATTTGCATGACCTTAGAACACAGGCATCGCATGTTGTTGTTAGTCAGCTCCGTTTCATTTCACGAAACGCGTTGCATCCAAAGCCTTGCCTGTGGAACGTCGCAAAAGGAGTCTTTTGGATCCACATTTCCTTGATGTGCTGGATTTCCTGAAGCATCTGCTAGCCCTGGCGGTGGGCCCACACTTGCGGCCTCAGGGATATCACCAAAAAAAACGATCCACGACGAGTGATGCAGCTTTACCCCAAAGCTTCTGGTCATTAGATATTAGACCCTATGAAGGAAGAACTTCACATGAAAGGTGAAAGGTCACAAGTCACAAGCAAAGAGTGTGCACATGTACTCGCATGTCTGCTTGAATATCTTGAATCATCAGTGACCTAAGAACACTCGCAGCATCTCTAGAAGTGCTTTGGAGATGCCTTGTTCAGGCAAAGGACATGCAGTGGAGGCCCTCCGAGGGCAAAGGGAATTGACGAGCTTAAGTCTGGCGTGAAACCCAAGCCAAAAGCTTCTGCTTGAGACTCCAGGGGGTCTTCTGGGAAGAAGCTTGACCTCAGTGTCATTGGTCACTGTATGTGCTCCAAGATTTCACCAAATATATCCAAATATCATCAAACTTTGCACGCCCCCAGCAACAAAGCAAATTACTCAAGATTGAACATGAATTGACCATATCACAACGGCTGACTACTTGCCAAGGCTCTCAATACCCTCCTCCCGCTGTACAGGTTGGGATGGTTGGGATGGTTGGGTCACGTCCTCGGCTTGATACAACCCGCATGAGGGACAGCTACAGAGATGATCTGATTCAATTCGACAAAGGATGATTCAAGGGATCAATTGTGAATCCTTTTCCGCAATCATTTTACCCATTTTTACCCCATGGATTCCATGGATCCATTTTTACAAATGGATCCAATATGGATCCAATACCAAAATAACCAACGTTTCATTGACGAGAGACCGCGGGAGGCTTGGTCGCTGGAGGTTTTGGTGGTGGAGCTGATGGTGGCGGCAGCAGCACCTGGGTTCCAAGGTAAAGCCAACGGAAAAAAAAAGATTGGAATTCAAGGAGCATACTGGTAATTAATGTAATAACCCTCCAAGAAAAGATAGAAAAGAGTGGTCTTACATGGTCTTACTATGTCTTTTGGTATCTTTGCTTGTTATATGTGTGGGTTTACGGAGTTTACGGTTGATCGCATGAGTCACTGCACATGTCATCCCGAGACCGGCAAAACTCGCAGCACAGGTCCAGATACTCCACCAGGACCTGCAAATGCTGGTGGCCTTAGACAGCCAAAAACATCCTTGAAATGATCCTGTGATCATGATTCATAGTACGTATGTCAATAATATGTATCTATACAATATATATATATATATATGTGTGTGTGTATGTGTGTGTATGTATATATATATATGACATGATGATATGCCCTGATATATGCTGTCTCACCCCCATGTGCAGCTGAATGTCAGGTTGGCAACCGGAGGAGCTTTTACCATCGGTGCAACCGCCACTGGTGGAGCTTTCACAAGCGCCTCACCATGGATCGGTCGATCCATAGGGGGCCTTGGCGCTTGAGACAGGGCAAACTTCGCGCAGGTGACCAGGACATAGCAGGACTGAGCTGCCGACGCCTTGCACACCACAGCCTGCGACAATCCAAAGCAATGAACATCGTAACATCATCAACACATAACTCAACACATAACTCACATAAGTGTGGATTGGAATTGGATTGGTATGGTTTAGTGAGTCTTACCAGTCTTACATAGTCTTACCCCAGCAAATTTCACGAAGAAATGTTGGACAAGTGAAAACCTGAGATCCCAACTGCATTTGAGTGCTCATTTGGAGCTTGGCGTCTGTGGACAGGCCTCTGGTCATGCTGGATGTTGCTGCCACTGCCATCGCAAGATGGTAGCGATGCAACTGCTTCATGGCGCTCCGAAAGGCAGGTGAGTGGAGAATACCAGAGATTTCATCAGAGGCTGGCACCCAGGAGCTTCATCACTGTTTTCATCGCTGTCCTCCTGGGAAAACTCACGGCCCACAGATGTCTACAGCAACATCCAATGCTACCCTCTGAAGCTCTGATGCCCAAATACCATAAAATACATTAAAATACCCTAGCCCATTGCCAGCCTGTATGGGAGTAGCAAGGCCAACACCTGCCATGGCTACTGATCATCAGTTTGATGAAATTGTAGCATATTGTAGCCCCACAGAGGCAGTTCAGCCTGGCACGGGCTGCTGTGCACTTTGCCTCAGTGGAACCATGTCAAACCACACCCGATCACCATCGGCGAAGAGGACATCGAATCGTTGTATCTGACGATTAAGATCCAAAGCAGTGACATGCATTGACCAACTTGAAAGGGCGTGGATGAAAGGTAGAGCACGGGGGAACAAAGAAAATACAAAATCCTCAAGAGAAACGCCAGTACGAGCCAGAACGAGGATGATACTGATAACATCTGATAACCATGAAAAAAGATACCGGCGATTCTGGTCGGTCATGGATGCCAACAACAAGAAAGCTCAGGACGGGAATGATGTCGGACATGTTTTGTTACGTTCGCTGATTCAAATGCTTCAATACAATGCCGATTATGAGGATGGAGCTGGGGGGCGGGGGTGGCAAAAACATGCGTGAACATGTTCACTCTGAGTCCATGAACTCATGCAGACAGCACTTTGGACAACTTAAATACTTTGAATTTTGAATCCTTTGCTGCCTAAGCTACCTTTTGTGAAAACGGCACTCCCCACCTGATTATCCTGATTTGGTTTAACTGTTTAACCTTTTCTAGCAGCCTTGAAGGCCCCCTGAGTGCAAGACCCCTTTTTGGCAGCGAGCTGTTCGGTGACTGGCAATCCATTCCAAACAGGTCCTTCCCTGACCTGCTCCGGGTCCCGCTCCAGCACCTCCACCGCGAATCAGTAGCAATGTTGGTCCCGTGGAGTTCACTAAAGCAGTGAAATATGGACAAGTCGAATAACATCGAATAAGTGCAAAAACATGCAAAATCTACAATTCTGAACTGATTAAGATCTTTGAGATTCTTTTAGACCATAGGACCATATTTCGTATTACTTCGCTATACGTCACATTGACAGGGGCTCTCCCCAGCCATTCTTGACAGAGCCAGGCCTCAGGTGCACTGTCTAAATTATCTTTGCTTCCACCTGATTTGTTTCTCAGCGATATGGCCGGTGCCTCATGGAGCGCAGGTGATCTCTACGGAAATCTAGTGCTGTTGCATGCATGTAGGGATAGAAACATCTTTACATCTGTTTATAGTGGCTATATCCTTTTTCTATAGTCTTCCATAGGCTATGTATCATATCCGTGCGTGTGTGTCATTGATATCTACTGCCAGAAATGTCCACACGGAAATGCTGCAAGGGAAACCACCACGCCACTGAATCCAGCTGGAAATCTCCACAACAAATCCGGTGCCTTTGCAGCCAATTCAATTTGCTCCGGCGTCAGGGAGATACGCCACCTGCACCATGGGATCTTTTTCCAGGAGCTCAACATGACTCAACATATATCTCAACGGTATTCCTTCGGTCTCCAAGGCTTGGGATTCTCCTGCCATCTCCTGCCTGTTCGCTTGTGAAGGCCCTGCGTGGGGCTTCCACTGCTGCGCTTCTGGTGGGATTCGAATTCGTTCCCGTTGGTTGATGAGATACGCCACTTGGGCCAAAGGGCATGGCCTGAGAATTTCACAGCGACCTTCTCTTGATCCTAGGTCCTAGGTCCTAGGCAATTCGGTATGGGTCAAAACCTGGTATAGCATGGTATATCTGGTGTCGATCCAAACATGTTGACAATGTTGACACTTCATACCCCCAAAGGTGATTTCTTGGCAAAAATATAGATTTTGAATGGTTTTAAATGGTTTTAAGAAACCCATACCCTCTTCAGTCTTGGAGTCGTGCTATTGTATCACTGCGTTTTTTTTTTTGGCACGATTGTCAGCGACTCTCTGGGCTCCCAACGCATCAGCGGGAAGCGCTCGTGGAACATTGTCCATGCTAAGGATGGCACCTGGAAGAATGGTGATAATTGGAATCAGTTTGGAATCCACATGAATTCACCCTTCTGGTTCCTATCCCGGATATTCATGGATATTCAGGCATTCTATCTGGTATTCTCCTAACTGTCCTAACTCTGACAGTTGAAGAATTCACCTTTTCCGGCAGCACCGTGGTGGGTTCTGCGGAGCTCAGCTCGTCTTCTGATATAGAGTTTTTATCAACTTCATGGCTCAGCTCCTCCCCTGCCTCTCTTCCCACCTCTGATCTTCATCAGCCTCAGTTTGCTGTCGCTGTCAGAACCCGCTTCACCCAACCTATACTGAAGCTGAGCAACTGTTCTTCGGCAACTTGGAGCAGTTCATTGGCCTTTTCCTCAGAACATGGAGAGCCATTGGGGTGTTTGTTGACATCCTATGCTGGCAGCTCCAACAGCGGGATACTTCTGGCACCAAGAATCTACGGTGTTCTGCTCCAAGCGCAGCCACAACGGTTGCTGCGTTCCGTTGCTATTTTTGGCTGGATACACCTGTTTGGCAATGGTTGGTAGATGGCATCTGCAGCCCGCTCATTGAAAACCTATGACTGAAAACCTCTTTTTTTTTCTTCCCCTGAACCCTGAAACTAGTCTGGTTACAGGGTCGCTTCAAGATTTACTCCGGATACTCTTCCTGCAAGACGTGCCGTGTTCAGATTGATTGTTGGAACAACTGCTGTAGGATCTTGGAACGGTCCCATCCTACAGCAGTTGTGGATTCTCCTATGGCCAGCTGGAAAGAGCTGGTGGGGTGGCCTTGTTGTGACCAACAGCTTTCAGAATGTCCTTAGCTTCAGCGCTGTGGCAGTTGCCATATTTGAACTTGTCAACGCACGATAGGTTGCAGCTTGCATCAAGATTCAACAGCGCCTTCTCGAGGAATATAGTTGTGAGACAGGTGCAATCTCGGGACACAAGAGTAGGCAGCACAAGAAATCACAAGAACGGGTCCTTCTGGGGCAAACAACAGTCAAAGCCATCAAAGCCATGACGTCTGCAAATCTTAGCCTCCAGCTCTATAACTGGGACGGGCGTGTGAGTGAGCCAGTCCATCATGGAGCTCGCAAATGCTCGGCCCAAGTTGTTTTTGTACAGCTTGATTATTCGCACTGCCTTGCTGTGTCGGTTTGTAAGTGTGCAATTCAACTAAAAGTCAACTGATGGTAAAACCCTGCAGCTCACAAATTCTCTTAGCCTATCAAGAGCCCTCAACTAAAGTTGCACCTGGGTCAAATTCGGACCAGCAGTACATTGCATCCAGTGGACCCATTTAAAGGATTCCCAAGCAGTTCAACATCTAAACTTGAGGACCAGGTGCGATCTTGTGAGTGAAGAGGACGCGCAACAAAGCCCGTCCACCCACGTCACCAATCATATTGGTAGAAAAGTTGGCTTCTTTACCTCCAACGTCAGAAGCAGAATTTGCCAGACGGTGCAGAAGGAACACAGCTCTCAGATTCTGGAGGCTCTCGTTGAAATTCGTTGAAGCCGAGGTGCACAATAAAAATCCGTCAGCTTCTCGTCGCGTTAGTCGCTTGATCTTGACGAAATCTGGAAGGCATTCATCCGCCCACGCGCCTCATGGCCACCCGTAAGAGGACATTGTTGGGACATTGTTGGGACGCTGTGGTCACAGGAGTAAATCAAAAGTGTACTTGAGATTACTTGAGTAAAATGCACACTTGAGCCGCAAAGAAAGAGACCGAGAGAGAGAGAGAGGGGGAGGGGGGAGGGAGAGAGAGCCCCTCATTTGCAGGTCCTGGTTTTTCCGTTTTGGAAGGAAGTCAACTGCTGTGTGGCATTTATGTATGCTGGATAGGAAAGTTGTGTGGATCATGTAGATTAATTATGAGTGATTATGTAGATTGTAGAGCTCGTCTAGTGGACTTCGACATGATGCTTTGATCCCGGGAGAGTCTCAACCTGGGAGATTCTGGAACCGAAGGCTACACATGGATCACATGGCTTGGATGCTCGCAGCCCAGCGACACCACTTTTCGATGCCAGAATCATCCAGATTTCGTGAGGACATATTGATACTCAGCTGTCCATCTCTAACCTGGGTGTCGGGGTTGTGTAACTGAGCTTCCACGACCGGCATTCAAATGCTTCCAGGTAACAGAAAGGCAGCCCTCAAATTCAGATCTGCCTTTCCTTGGTTTGGAACATCAGACATGTCAAAATTTTTGGTGGAACCATCCAAGCATTTGCGGACACACCGACGAACATGCACGGTATGCGTAGATTCATTCATGCGCGGTATCTATCTATCTATCTATCTATCTATCCATCCATCCATCCATCCATCTACCTATCTGTCTGTCTGTCTGTCTATCTATCTATCTATCTATCATCCCCCTTGCAATTCGGGCTCCGACCCTGACCCCTGGATCTTTAAGGGACCACTGGTAGCCTCTTAAAGAATGCGAACCAGGGCAAATTTCAGCCTTAAAGAATCTAACCCCAATGAACCAAGATTGCAACACAGTAGCCAGGTATGTCCCTTTAAAGGATTGGAGACCCAAGTTGCACACCAAGGGGTGCCCCTTTAAAGAATTGGATACCCAAGTTGCCGTCGAATGGACGACGGCGCAGTCAAGCATCATCAATAAGATGCGCATGCAATCACATGAGAACATATAGACTTATTTATTTGTGTCCATATTAGGATTATTATACTTCATTAAGCATTTTTAGGTGAATTTTGAAAGCACATCTTTAACATTCTTCAACTCTGGAAGGTGTTTTAACAGATTTTAACACAAATTCTTGCATTTACAATTCTCCTTGGAATTATCCTGCTCACATGGACTCCAGCATTCTTTAGACAAAAAACGGAGGTCCACCTTGTAATGTTGGATCCTGATTAGTGTGCGGATACTGAATTGTGTCCACAGACCTCAAAATTATTCTGAAACTTTGGAAATGATCGAGGGTACAGTTTTGTGTCCACAGGATTTTGGTGTAAGTTTTTTTTTCATTTTTTTCATTTTTTTAGTTTTTAATTGTTTTTTTATTGTATTTCAAAATTTTAAAATATTTTATTTTTATTTTTAATTATAATATTTTTTAATTTATTTTTTTATTTTATTTTAAATTATTTTTATTTTTATTTTTAATTAATTAATTATAATAATTTTTAATTTTAATTATTTTTTATTTTATTTTAAATTATTTTTTTATTTTTAATTATAATAATTTTTAATTTAATTATTTTTATTTTTAATTATATATAGTTTTTATTATTTTGTAAAATTGTGTCAGGATACACAATTGTGTCATTGTGTCAGGATACACAATTGTGTCTTGGTCTTTTTTTGTTCTTCAAACATTTTTCATTTTTTTCATTTTTTAAAGCTTTTTCCTTTTACTTTTTATTTTCCATCATTGAAATTTTCCAGATGCCTTCCACAGAAAATTACATCCAGGTACACAATAGTGTGGTTTGTTTGGAGGGTACACTATTGTGTCCAGCTGCTTTCCTGAGGTCATGATTTTTTGATTTTTTCAATCATTTCCTTTACCTTTTCCTTTGCTAGCTAAAGTGTTTTCCTTTCAATCAATTTCTTTCTTAGTTTCTTTCATTTGAAATTCTCAGAAATGACCAGTTTCCCAAAATATATGATGCCTTATTAAAACCCAATTAAAAAAACATCACTCAAACAATTTTTCAAGGGGGTAGTCCATGAGCAACCCTGATACAGAATAGTGTGGTTTGTTTGGAGGGTACACTATTGTGTCCAGCTGCTTCCTGAGGTCATGATTTTTTGTTTTTTTCAATCATTTCCTTTACCTTTTCCTTTGCTAGCTAAAGTGTTTTCCTTTTAATTAATTCCTTTCTTAGTTTCTTTCATTTGAAATTCTCAGAAATGACCAGTTTCCCAAAATATAAGATGCCTTATTAAAACCCAATTAAAAAACATCACTCAAACAATTTTTCAAGGGGGTAGTCCATGAGCAACCCTGATACAGAATAGTGTGGTTTGTTTGGAGGGTACACTATTGTGTCCAGATGCTTTCCTGAGGTCATGATTTTTTGATTTTTTTCAATCATTTCCTTTACCTTTTCCTTTGCTAGCTAAAGTGTTTTTCCTTTTAATTAATTTCTTTCTTAGTTTCTTTCATTTGAAATTCTCAGAAATGACCAGTTTCCCAAAATATATGATGCATTATTAAAACCCAATTAAAAAACATCACTCAAACAATTTTTCAAGGGGGTAGTCCATGAGCAACCCTGATACAGAATAGTGTGGTTTGTTTGGAGGGTACACTATTGTGTCCAGCTGCTTTCCTGAGGCCATGATTTTTTGATTTTTTCAATCATTTCCTGTACCTTTTCCTTTGCTAAAGTCGTTTTTCTTTTAATTGCTTAATTACTTTCTTAGTTTCTTTCATTTGAAATTCTCAGAAATGCCCAGTTTCCCAAAATATATGATGCCTTATTAAAACTCAATCAAAAAACATCACTCAAACAATTTTTCAAGGGGGTAGTCCATGAGCAACCCTGATACACAATAGTGTGGTTTGTTTGGAGGGTACACTATTGTGTCCAGCTGCTTTCCTGAGGTCATGATTTTTTGATTTTTTCAATCATTTCCTTTACCTTTTCCTTTGCTAGCTAAAGTGTTTTCCTTTCAATCAATTTCTTTCTTAGTTTCTTTCATTTGAAATTCTCAGAAATGACCAGTTTCCCAAAATATATGATGCCTTATTAAAACCCAATTAAAAAAACATCACTCAAACAATTTTTCAAGGGGGTAGTCCATGAGCAACCCTGATACAGAATAGTGTGGTTTGTTTGGAGGGTACACTATTGTGTCCAGCTGCTTCCTGAGGTCATGATTTTTTGTTTTTTTCAATCATTTCCTTTACCTTTTCCTTTGCTAGCTAAAGTGTTTTCCTTTTAATTAATTCCTTTCTTAGTTTCTTTCATTTGAAATTCTCAGAAATGACCAGTTTCCCAAAATATAAGATGCCTTATTAAAACCCAATTAAAAAACATCACTCAAACAATTTTTCAAGGGGGTAGTCCATGAGCAACCCTGATACAGAATAGTGTGGTTTGTTTGGAGGGTACACTATTGTGTCCAGATGCTTTCCTGAGGTCATGATTTTTTGATTTTTTTCAATCATTTCCTTTACCTTTTCCTTTGCTAGCTAAAGTGTTTTTCCTTTTAATTAATTTCTTTCTTAGTTTCTTTCATTTGAAATTCTCAGAAATGACCAGTTTCCCAAAATATATGATGCATTATTAAAACCCAATTAAAAAACATCACTCAAACAATTTTTCAAGGGGGTAGTCCATGAGCAACCCTGATACAGAATAGTGTGGTTTGTTTGGAGGGTACACTATTGTGTCCAGCTGCTTTCCTGAGGCCATGATTTTTTGATTTTTTCAATCATTTCCTGTACCTTTTCCTTTGCTAAAGTCGTTTTTCTTTTAATTGCTTAATTACTTTCTTAGTTTCTTTCATTTGAAATTCTCAGAAATGCCCAGTTTCCCAAAATATATGATGCCTTATTAAAACTCAATCAAAAAACATCACTCAAACAATTTTTCAAGGGGGTAGTCCATGAGCAACCCTGATACACAATAGTGTGGTTTGTTTGGAGGGTACACTATTGTGTCCAGCTGCTTCCTGAGGTTATGTTTTTTTTCGACCATTTCCTTTTCCTTTTCCTTTGCTAAAGTTTTTTTCTTTTATGGTATTTCTATGGTATTACTATTGGATTTCTATGGAATTCCTATGAGGTCTCCATGATGTTTCTATGATATTTCTGGAGGATTTCTATGGTATTTCTGAAGGGGTGCTATGGGAGTTCTATGGTATTCTTATGGGATTTCCATTGGATTCCTATGGGATTTTTATGGTATTTCTATGATCTTTCCTATGGAATTTCTATTGGATTCCTGTGGGTTTTCCAAGGTATTTCCATGATGTTTCTATGATCTTTCTATGGGATTTCTGTGAGATTCCTATGGGATTTCCATTTTTACTTTCTTGTTCTAATTTCTATTTCTTTTCTATTTCTCTCTATTTCGCCTTCTTTCTCTTTCACCCACCCATCTCTCTTTCTTCTTTCTTCTTTCATCTTCTTTCTTTCTCTCTCTAATGTTACTTTTCTTTCTCTTTCTTGCTTTCTTCTCTCTCTCTCTCCTTTTCTTCTCTCTTTCTCTTCCTCTTTCTCTTCTTCTAGAATTTTCTCTTCTATGTTCCTTTCAATTTCTGATCTTTCTATTCTTTTCTCTCTGCTCTTTCTCTTTTCTACTCCTATGATCTTTCTATGGGATTTCTGTGAGATTCATTAATGGGATTTCCATGTTATTTCTTATGATCTTTCTAATGGGATTTCTGTGAGATTCCTTATGGATTTCATGTTATTTCTATGATCTTTCTTATGGGATTTCTTGTGAAGATTCCTATGGGAATTTCCACGTTATTTCTATGATCTTTCTATGGGATGTCTGTGAGATTCCTATTGATTTTCCATGTTATTTCTATTGATCTTTCTATGGGATTTCTGTGAGGATTCTTATGGGATTTCATGTTTATTTCTATGTCTGTCGTATGGGAATTTCTATGAGAGATTCCTATGGGATTTCCATGTTATTTCTATGATCTTTCTATGGGATTTCTGTGAGATTCCTATGGGATTTCCATGTTGTTTCTATGATCTTTCTATGGGATTTCTGTGAGATTCCTATGGGATTTCCATGTTATTTCTATGATCTTTCTATGGGATTTCTGTGAGATTTTTATGGGATTTCCATGTTATTTCTATGATCTTTCTATGGGATTTCTGTGAGATTCCTATGGGATTTCCATGTTATTTCAGTTATTTCTATGATCTTTCTATGGGATTTCTGTGAGATTCCTATGGGATTTCCATGGTATTTCTATGATCTTTCTATGGGATTTCTGTGAGATTCCTATGGGTTTTCCATGTTATTTCTATGATCTTTCTATGGGATTTCTGTGAGGTTCCTATGGGATTTCCATGTTATTTCTATGATCTTTCTATGGGATTTCTGTGAGATTCTTATGGGATTTCCATGTTATTTCTATGATCTTTCTATGGTATTTCTGTGAGATTCTTATGGGATTTCCATGTTATTTCTATGATCTTTCTATGGGATTTCTGTGAGATTCCTA